CGGGTGCCCAACCATGGATCAGAAATATTGTTTTGGAGCCATTGTTGGTTGATTCCTAGGATGCGAAACCGGGGATATGGAGGGCTGACTGTACATTTATTGAAAAAAATCTGCATGTAAATGGACCCATGCATTTCAAAATTATGTTCTTCAAGGGTTAACTGTATATCCTTATAGTATAGAACGTCTATAGGCAAATATAGCACATACAGTCTTATTTCTTCTTTAGCTTACCAAAGTCTGATTTATTTTCATAAACTCTTTGGTGAATTAATTACTATTGTTCCCATTTTGTCTAAATCCACTATATTTGTATTTTTCTTTACATGGTACTAACACCCATAATTAACATTATGTAGCGTAAGTTAGAGAAATGATTTTGCTTTCTTCTCTGTATTGAAGCATTTGAAGTATATACCTATTCCTTTTATCACTAAGTGTGTTGTAAATTGTTCTTTGTCTCTTTTCTGAATTAAGCTGCACCCTCCAGAATGGTCTCCCTGCCTCCAATCTCTCATCAGCTCAGTCAGCCCTTTGTTTTGTCCCAGTAATTATTTTGAAAACACAAGTCTGATCTTGGCATATTCTGGCTTTAAAACCACCAGTGATCCACGTTGCACGTTTCCTTTCCTTTGCTTATGCTGTTCCCTCGAAGTTGCTGTTCTCTTGGCCTTTTGCACTGGTGCACCTACAGATGCCCTTCCATTTCCAGTGCAGATGTCATCTGTGATGCCTCTGTGAACTTTTGTCAGGGAAACAAAGTTTATTGCGCTTCCTTTTGTATTCCAGTCATCCTTTCTAAATTCCCTTGATTTCCCCTAGCACAACTGAGTAGTGAATGATAAAAGAAAGAATGAATGAACACATCAGCTCTTTGACCAATACTGTTTCTTACTTGTCTTTTACTTGAACCTAACATGCAATTGGTATTGAATTTGAGGTGTATGCATAGGGCATTATCAATTTTGTAATTCAGGTAACTGTTCCCCATTTCATGAAGTGCTTTCATGCTCTTCTCATACCCCTGAACAGGTGTTGGCGAATATTTCTTATTTATCTGCCACCTTTATCATAGCAGATTTGTTAGCAATATCATATACATTTCACACATGTGAATTGGATCATCTGCATTCCTTCAGATTGAGTCTTCTTTAGACTGTGTATGCATTGGCCACTGCTATCTCCTTGATGTATACAAAGTAGAAATCTTGTCTGTATGCCTATTTCGCATGTACCATGTACAATTCCATATATACTATATATAATGTGTGTAAATATATGTCATGGAATAGTTGTAGCTCCAGCTCATAGAGTCAGATCCCTGGGTTCAAATTCCAGCTCTACTGTTTATCGAAAGTATGACCTTGGACAAGGTACTTCTGTCATCTGTAAAATGGGGATAATAACACTCTCTACCTCATAGCAGTGTTGTGAGGATTAAATGAGCTAATACAGGTAAATAGTTGACAATGGTAAACATACAAAGTAAATGTAGCACACAGGAAACATTCAGTACGTTTGTGTATCATCGTGGAGTGTTAAATTCCAAACTCTGTTTCACAGCAGCACTGACAGGTTGCTCTCAGATCCTGAACTGAGCGCTACAGAAAGCCCTTTGGCTGACAAGAAGGCTCCAGGAAGTGAGCGTGCCGCAGAGAGGGCCGCCGCTGCCCAGCAAAACTCTGAAAGGGCCCGCCTGGCCTCACGGCCATCATATGTCAACATGCAGGTAATGATAAAAAAAAATGGGCATGTCATCCAAATGTAGAGTTTTAGGTTAGGGAATGGGGAATTCGGTGAGTGTTTTGCAGCAGAGCAGAAATTAGGTTTTCTTTCTGTACTCTAGTTCAAAATGAAATTTAACTATATATGCAGTATTTAGGAATTGGTTTTGAAATGCAGGATTTAGCTTAAGTGAGAAGAATTGTTTATAATATGAAGAATGACATAAATGGTGTATGCCAGTATGTGTTATGCAAATGATGTTATTCACGTTTTTAAAAAATTTAGATAAATGTCAGAGCTGTTATTTCTAAGTATTACTGCTTCATGACATAGCCTTAGATAAATAAATATCCTTCTATCAATAAAATGGAGATGATTAATTTGTTTTGTGTCATTTACAGAGTTTAAAAATAACTCATATGAATCTTTAGTTTTTTGAAAGAAGATGCTAAATATTATTGATGATTATATTTACAGATTTCATGATTATTGTAAACAATTTCCTCAGCAGGGATTTTCTCTGTATCCATTTTTTCAAAGCATTAGGCTCATTACTCAAAATAGACTATTGCCCATGAAATTCAGAAATCTGATTTACATATAGATCATAACATGAAAGATAAGGATTTTGTGCTTTGTGCTTTTAGAGATTCTTATAAACATTTGCTTTCAGTATTGGAATTACTGGGTAGACTTGCCTACTTCATAGTAAGAGATTTATCATCCCCATCCTCTTACATCCAAAACAAGAAAAATAAAAAAGGAAAAACTTTTCACAAAATCCTAGAAACCAAGCAGCTGTCACAGATATAGCAAAGAGATGAATTCATGAACTAAATTATACTTCTATAATTCCAGCAAAAACTACAGTTAAGCCCTGATTGTCCGTTTTTTAATCCTTTGCATTTGAATATCTCCATGAGTTTTTAGGTGAATGTTTTTACAAAAGCCATGGTCATTATAAAGTGTCAATGGTAGAAAATGACATTTGTTACATTTTCTCTGGTGGACTTATTTTCAGTTAATATAAATTAAAATTCTCTCATCTAAGAAGTATTGAATCCGCTTTGTGGTCCCTTTATGGTTTTCATCCATCTTGTACTTCGCATCTTTTTCATCAGGTTTATACCTACAGTGAACCATTTTCATGTTTCCTTCTTTTTGGATGGATAAAACATGTTCTTGGTGACATTCTTTCAACTTAAATAGATGTATTTATGTCATTAGTAAAGAGCTGACTCTTAAAATCCCTAAGAAACCAATGATAATAGTCACTGAGCATTGACTGGGAGAAAGATTGAAGACTCCCATGATTCCTTCGGCTAAAAATCATCTCTGTCTCCTGAGTGCTGCTGCAGCTCTCTTTTCACACTTATCCTACTTTCTAGTAGTTATTTTTTGTAGTTATTTCTTTACCCATACCTAAGACTCTACATGCTTTGAGGCTATAGATTATTAATTAATTGTATTCTTCCACACAGTACAGCACATTCTCGTTAACCAGAGATACTCAATAACTATTCATTGAACAGGTGAATTTAGGATCTCCCCACACCTTGCCCTTAGACATTAATCATTAAAAGTTGATTTTAATTCCCAGTGCCATTTTATACCTAGGATTTCAAAAACATCATCAAACTGTGTTATCGAAAAACCTGGTGCTCATGATTTACTGTTGTGTTCTTAAAGCTAATCACACACCCTGGTTTGTCTGGGTCAGCCTGTTGACTTGTATTATCCTGACCTACTTATTATTTGTGGCACATTTCACTCTCAGAAGTATCCTGTTTTGGACTGTAAATTACCTGGGCATGCACTCTACATATGGAGAGATAGTTCTCCTGCAAGAAGGGTCAGAAGAGCTCTTCCCGGTTGGTTTTTGACTCTCCTTGTAGGCCTTTGAGACATTCTCAAATTAAGTTTTAGCTAGTCCCTACATTGGGGAGTTGAGAATACTGGGTTAGCATTTGAGATGTAGCTATATCTAGACTGCTTTCTTCAAAACAACCTACCTTGGTTTCTGTGTTGACCTGACTGTGGTATAAGTCACTTATTCAGTGTGAATGGAAAGAATAAATAGTGCGATCCTAGTCCTGTGCAATAAAAGGTAACTAGGTTTAATTTTATTGTATTGCTTAATGTTATTATAGCTTAAAGCTAGACATTTGCCATTTATCTCATTTCAAAAGCAAAGCCTATTCCAGTTAAGCTAAATAATTCCTTAAGTTGTCTCCACATTATATACTACTTCAGGCCATCCTTTACGTAAATGAAGAGGGGATTTTTGAGAAACAAAGGAGGCCAATAGATAACCTGAAAGCATTTTGGTAATTATTTTGAAACAGCATAACTATTATTAGGTTATTCCTATACTTCAGCATATATTTGTCCTGTGAATATTTAACATATATTCATAGTATGAATACAGGAATTTCCCCCCCATTTTGATGGGAAATGTCTAACTCTTGTCACTGTCATGAATTAAAGTCAGAAGTAGTAATGTATTATTCTAATCATTTTTGAAAACACGTTTAAATTTATCAGACTTGCACTGAATTAATGACACATTATTGGCGCAAAGCTTAGCATGTGTCCTAGGCAGATTCATGGGCTGTAGTCAAAACTTTTGTTCTCTAATCATCAAGTATTGGCATGGCATTTGGATAGACTGGCAATAAAGATATTTTCTCTGTTTCATTTTTCAGGCATTTGACTATGAACAAAAGAAGCTATTAGCAACAAAAGGTATATAATATGTTAAAGATGTATACTTTGGGTTGGTTTTTTTTCCAGTGGACCCATAAAAGGTTTTCCAGTATTCATACTGAATTGTGAAATTGGACCTTCATAAAAAGAAGGCTTAGGATCAAAGTTGTACATATTTTGTTGAGGTTGAATATATTTTGTTGACTAGATTAGCATTACATCAATTAAGAAATAATGTAGCATTTTTAAGTTTCCCATTCCTTTGTCTAGAATATTTTATGAAGATACTTTAAGAAATAATATTCAGTGATGATTTCTTTACATAGGTCAAAGAAAACACTCATCAATGTTTTATTGAAGAGATATATTAAAATACCAAGCGTTTGTTTTATATTCTGTTTCCTAAAGCTATGTTAAAGAAACCAGTGGTGACAGAGGTCAGAACACCTACAAATACCTGGAGCGGCCTCGGGTTTTCGAAATCCATGCCAGCGGAAACGATCAAGGAGCTGAGAAGGGCCAACCACGTGTCCTACAAACCCACAATGACAACCACTTTTGAGGTTTGTAGAGTTACGCCCTGCCCGTTCTTCCTGTGTGTTCTCCTAGCAAAAGAGAAAAACCGTCTCTCCCCTCCCAGTGTTTATTTACATAGGGAAAAATCATTAGAGGGGATTTGTTTTAATTCCTGTTCTTATAAACATATTGCTATAAAACTGATGCAATCTAATGTATTATCTTTTATGTATCTTCTCTCAAAGCATTGATCAACTCGTATTTATACCTTATGGAGATGTAAATTTAGATAAATGTGTTTTTGTTAGGGAGAGCATGTCATCAATGCTAAGGCAGGACTGAGATTAAGCAAAGGACAGATGTAATATTCCATAAAACGTGTGAAGAATCCCTTTATCCAAGGGTATCATTAGGAAGCCTACCATAGGGGGAAAAGGCAAATATTCAACAGAAACAGGTTTTCAGGTATGAGTTAAAAACTCAGTGTGTTCAGATATGCCAGGAACACAGCAGGAAGTATCACAAACAAGAGCTCCAAAATTTTATACTTCCCAGATGTTGGCTGTACTGCTCAGTGAGACTAGGAAGTTGGCATCGTATCACATGGAGAAGGGGTCCAGGGTTCCGTCCTTCCCAGCCAGGCTACATGTGACTCACTCAGCAAGGCCTTTTCAGTTTGGGAGTATCAGATTTTGGCTGTAAGCCTTTCGCGAGCGGGGATGGGGTTAGAGCTCACGCATGCACACACAACACTGGGGAGACTGTGCAAACCCAAACATGGGTGAGCATGATTAATCCAGGAACCACAGTGTTCACCCAGAAGACGGTAGACCAAAAAACAAATACTGGGTAAGGGTTTCGTAATTGTTAGTCTAACAACTGGCATTTGTAAAGTGACCTTTTTTCCACCTATTTTCTTTGTAATAAATCAGACTATTGATGAAGGGCAAAAGCAAACATGCAAGTTTTTTAATTTGTCTCTAAGAGTAAGTGAAAAAGAAAATACTATTTGAAATACTGAAAAGAACAGTGTCCTGTGAATTTCACTGTGAGACCTACAGTCATAACCTGAGAGGCTGTTTTTAAAGATTGAACTTACTGTCAGCAGCTAGTATGTAGGAACCATTATGAAAAATCATGAGGCTCTAGGAAGTACACTCATTCTGCCATTATAGCACTCGCTCAGAGAAACCAGACGTCTCCTTTTGTTGGCAGAGACCTCAAAACTGCTGTTTCTTTCACCTGATGAACTCTGGTGTCCATTCCACTCACCCTTGGCTTTGGCAGAGGGGAGTGTTAGGTGGTTGATTGTGTTTCTGTACTTTCACAGGTGAACTGTTTCACTGTAGAAATGCTAGTTCAGTTCTGTTCTCAAAGACTAGCATTATGATGATTTGAAATGATGATCATTCTAATAATACTGTAGGGGCTGTGACAGCCACTTTTGATAGATGAGTGATAGCTTTGATGAGTGACTGCAGTCCTCTGAGCCTGTTTTCTCATTGGAGTTTCAAGGATGACGTGAGAGAGGACATCCAGGGCATAGCATGGTGTATGGTAAGCTCTCATATTTAGCAGTTAGTGTTACTTCCACTGGAGAACATTCCTCTGAAGAAAACCAAGAGCCTGCTGAAAGATAAGATTAAGTATATGAGTGCTTATTGCCAGAAGTATTTCTGCACATTAAAACTAGGTGTGCTTCTTATAGGCAAAGGGACACCTCAGAGTATTATATCAGCCCCTAATGTACCAGTGATAATTATCTTCAATCACATTCATTTATTTCTTTGTGGTTTATAAGGTGTATTTTCATCCATAAACTTATCCGATCCCTACAAACTCCCTGGGAGGAAATGGGGCCCAGAGCAGTTAAGTGTCTTACTTGAGGTCATGGCAGTAGGTGTCAGAGAAAAGACTTGAATTCATTTTACAAAATTTTCTTACACTCCTCCTCCTAATGGTTTCACCCAAAAGGGTACATAGCAAAGGTGATGTGTAATTGATCTAGAGCCACGTTGCCCTACCTTAACAGACATAAGAATCACTTGGAGAGCTTGATAAAAATGCATCATCCTCTTCCTCTAGGATCTCATTCATCAGGTAGGGTGTGGGAACCAGGCATCTCTGTTTTTCAGCAGAAATCTCGTATGATTCCAATGCACGCACCTTCTGGAAACACTGATCACAGGGACCTCCCATTAAGGGGGACGATGCAGAACTGATGTAAGAACCTGACCCGTGTGCTCCGGCACTTGCCCTGGGATGGGTAGAACCACCTGCTGTGGGCAGGAATGTGCAGGTCCTGATTCAGTGGCTGAACCCCCTCCTGTGGCTTTCCTTGCCTTGGCCTTCCTGGGTCAGGCCCTTCCACCTTCCTGGCTGATGTCTAGTGGCTCATTCACACTGACACGGCAGGGCAGAGGTGTGACCAGCTGGATCAGTGCATGGGTGTTCACCTTGTAACCTGCTTTTATTTACAGCCCCTTTGTACACTGTTGATGAAAAGATAAAATCGATCTTGCTTTGGGACTAGTGTTCTAGATTCTTCCTGGTGTGTAGAACTTGAATTTTTCCTCATGCATCACAGATCCGTTGAAAGGGGGCGAAAAGTCCCCGTTACATAGCATGAGCTGATATTCCGCAGCAGTTGCTGTCTGCAGGTGCACACCTTCCCCTTTATCCTGCTCGGTATTCAAAACTGGGCAGTCAGTGAGGATTGCTTCTTTGGGTTAGGACACGGGGACAAGGTAGGATGGAAAAGGACCTGAGGAAAAGAGGAGAGAAGTTAAATTTTTTTATTAAAAGATTGCCCACGTGTCTACTTACAGCACTAATATGTTTAAATTAGAGGATGGTTAGAAACACTCTTTTTCCTTATTTTTTTCCAAAGAAAAACAAAATCAAATGGGTAAGTAGAACAGTGATCGATGAGAAGAAGTATGTTTAGCCAGGAGGTCCTGCTGGGTGCAAGCTGCTCACTCGGTGTGCCAGGGATTAGGCACACAGTGTCCTGCTCTAGGAAACTTGCTTGAGGCAAGAAGTCGATGCTTGGAGCTCCTTATTCAGATTTTGGAGATGCTAGACTTGAGCAATTCTTTCCAGTTTGGGGGCAACGTTGAGAAATTAGCCTGTTCTAAAGAGCTCCTTTAGATAAGAAACAGGCAGCTTGAGGCTTTGTTTTGTTTTCTCCAAGACTCAAAAATATGGCCCTATCCACTTGATGATATACTGGGACACCACAGGTCAAACAAAGGGCTGCTCAGACCAGTAACACCTCTGTGACATCAACAGAACTACACAAGGTTTGGGATTTTCCTTTTCTTTCTGCCACTTACCTCTTAAAAGCATAAGTAGTGGTTGCATTCTCTGGAACAAATAAAAACCTGCAACGAAATCAAAGATGGGTTTTCATTTTCCAGCCCTAGGAGTAATGAGGATGTCCAATTATTATAAGTCTTATAAATCTACGAGTAGAGGTGAGCTGCTCTTTGTGATGCTTTAATGAGTCGATAACAACTAGTAGATATCACGCGATTATGTTTTTACTTAATGTTTAGCCAGGTCTGACATAGTATGTGAATTAAGTTGGCTTAGATCTTAGATGAGTCATTTTTTTATACTCAAGAAGAATTTAGATGCAGAATTTAAAATATATATATAAAGCCCACATAATGATCTCGTTAATGCTTCTGGTAGTTACCAATTCTGAGCATGCTGTTATTCCCCTTGCTGCATTGGATCTATCTGGTTGAAGTATAATGTTAAAGATGGTTTTAATTGAAGTCTTTTTTTTTTTTTTTGGTCTCAGGAGCTTTTCTTTCCCTGTGCCCCTTTCCAGAAGTCAGCAAAGGACATCCCATAGATGTAGGAAAAGGCATCTATGAAATTCAGTAATTCTACAAATACTTATTAAGAACTTCTGTGTTCCAGACACATTTGTAGGCCCTAGAGATACAATGCTTGAATTCAGGTTCTTACTTTCATGGATAGAGCTTTCTCTTTGGTGGGTAGAGATCAAAACAAGTAAACAAGAAGGCATTAGGTAATAAAAGCCTCTGATAAATATGAAACAGAGGCTGCTTTAGATTGGGTACTCATAGCAGGTCTTAACGAGATGACATCCAGCTAAGACCTAGATGACAAGAAAGGGCCTGCCTTGTGAAGAGAATCAGGCTAGGGGAGCAGCTGGGATGACCATCCTGAAGTCAGAACCAGCTGGTGAGTTCACAGAGCAGAGGTGGACAGGTGGTAGAGCGTTGAAGATAAGGTTGGAGAGAGAGGCAGAGGCTCAACTATGGAGCACCTTAGGCCACTGTAAAGTACTGGAAAAGCATTACGAGATTTTATACAGAGACACGACTTGGTCTAATTTGCATTTTGCAAAGCAACCTAGTTGCTTTGGAAAATGGATTATTGGGGTTGGAGGCAAGAGTCGAGTCAAAATATCCATTAAGGAGGAAGCTATTGGCGACAGTCGTGGAGATGGAGAGAAGCACGTAGGTTTGGGGTATGCTTATAGATGCCACTGCTAGAACTTGCTGACGGATTGGATGTGGTGAGGGAAGGAGGAACGAGGATGACCCTTAGAAGTTTGGTTTGAGCAACTGGGTGAATGTAGAGTCACTTACTGATGTAGGAATTCTGGGGGAGGAGTAGGGTTGGGTGTAGCTGGCGGGGACAAGTAGTCAGAAATTTGGTTTTAAGCACTCTAAGGTAAAATGCTTATGAGACAGTAAAATGGGTGTGTCGGATTGGCAACTCTACGGTACTAAATTTGAACAGAGAAATCAAATCTGGAGGTAAAAATTTCAGAGTCTTAGCTGTCCTTAGCCTTGAAAGAGGTTGAGATTACTTACGAAGAAAGTGTAGAGAGACGTGTGAAGGAATGCTGGGATCAAGTCTCCAGCAACGTGACGTTTGGAGTGGGAAAGAGGAGGAAGGTCCTACAAGGCTACTGGGAGCTGGGTGGGAACGCTGGGGAGTGCAGTGTGATGATGCCCTGAAGAAGGAAGCGTGCTCAGCTGTGGTCCTGCTGCTGTGAGACTGAATTAAGTGAGATTATTGAAATGCATAGTAGAGGATTCTCTTAGGATTCCCCAACAAACAGAAAACTTTGAAAATCAGAGAATCTTGACTTTAATACTCTAGATATAGTACAAAGTAGGGGACCTGTAATATGGCGATTAACTAAATGAATACAGGAATGAATAAATGCAAGTTCAGTGTAAACTTTGAGATCTTTTATGTTTTATTTTGATTTGAGGGAATTAAAAAAGGTAGATTTTTTTCCAGGTATTTGTAATTTGTTGGAGAGATCATATTTAGGTGAGGCCAACACAAGAGAAATGCCAGATCTCGCTACCCTCTGATTCTATTGGCCGGGGAGCTCGAGTGCTGTCAACGCGTTGGGTCTAGCTGCACCTCGTCCCCATTGCTCTTTCTTGTGTGATTCAATGAAGAGAATTGCTGCCAAACCAGATGGAAGATCTGCTTTGTGGTTCCTAAAAATAGAGAGGAATCTCAGCATTCACTTCTGTAAATCTCCTGCGTGTGGCTTTATCCTGGGGGCTCGCAGAACTCTGCTGGGCACCCCCATACTGGAGGACTTCCCTGTGTATGTTACCGAAGTGTCCCTGGTGGCTGGGGAACAAAGGCTGTCTAGACAGGTGCCACAGCCTCTGCCCGGGAATCAGCGTTCATGGGTGACTGCAGTGGTCAGCAGGAGAAGTAAATGGCAGTGGCCGCATGGGGCTCCCTTTCTCCTTTCACCCCAGGAAACCCACCTTCTTAACCATTTCCTTCTCTGCCTTTGACTGTTTACAGGGCTCATCAATGTCCCTCTCGAGGTCCAACAGTCGCGAGCACTTGGGAAGTGGAAGCGAAGCTGATAACTGGAGAGACCGAAATGGAATAGGACCCGCAAGTCATAGTGAATTTGCAGCTTCTATCGGCAGCCCCAAGCGTAAACAGAACAAATCAAGTGAGCTTTGACTTTTGATCATACTTTTAGATGTAACCTGCTTGGAATTTGTTCACTTGGTTGAGGGTGATGTTCAAGTATAAACTCTGGACTCCATCCTTCAAGTGTTTGTCATAACTCATATCCACATCCTTGGTGAAGCTTTCCTTAGTTTTCCCAGTGAAGCAGACCAGGTAGTTATATAAAGTTATTTACCATAATAAATGCTTTCGCTGCATTTTGCATATGTTTTCACTCTAGCACTTGTCATGCTGAAGTGTAATTCCGTATTTACGTATCTATCTCTTTCTGTAGAATTTGAGCTCTTCAAGCCAGGGGCCATATTTATTCCTTCAATGAACACTTATTAAGTGCCCACATGACAGGCATTCTTATATGTTGTTTCTTCCCAGATGTCTAACAGTGTATGATACCTAGTAGGGGCTCAGTGTTGGACAATAGAAGAAAGTCTGCCTGGTAGGGAGCTATTAAAGATGGAGAGCAGCATTTGATTTTTTAAATTGACCAAATGTAGCTGAATTGACCAAATGTAGCTGAATTGACGTAAATTTAAAGCATAAGGTTCTGGCTTCGAACACATATGGTTCAGACTCGGCATGAGTCCAGTGGTTTTGTCTGTAACAGCGCCCACACTTCTGGGCTGTCTACAAAGGGATACAGATAAGAATTGACAAAAGTAATCACAAGAAATACCCCTAATGCCTTTGTTCAGGGTTTTTGACAAATTTGGAATTCCGAAACACATAGCTCAGGGTATTTGAAGACCCTTTAAAGAAAGGCAACCTCAAGGAGTATAGTAGACACTCAGTAAGTCCGTTGTTACCGCCGATCAAGTCAGACATGCTGTCAAGAGTCTCAGATTTCAAAAAAGCAGTGTGGGGTTGGCTAAAAAAGAAAGCACAATCAACTCTTTCATTCCCAGGGTACTGTCAGTAGTAGCCTGGACACTTCCTATCAGTTATGGGCTAGAGCCTCCATCACTGACTGGAGGATGGAGCTGAGAGGCGGGCTGGCGCCAGGTGCAGATCTAGGGCTGGAAATGATCTCTGTTCTGTAGCCCAATATAAATTGGCTTGGTGCCTGTTTTTTCTGTCTTTATCTCCTTTCCCTTTCCTTAATGCTGGATAATTAAAATTGACTGTACAACTTAGCTGCACTGAAGTTCAGGCTTAGGGTAAAGATAGGGGCTTCATTAATAAAAAGGAATGATTAAGGAAGCACAGTTATTTGGCTTTTGTCAGATGTTTTAAGAGCATCAGGAGTTTAAAAGAGAATATATACTGGGGGTGCCAAAAAATGTATACACATGACTTGTATTCATCTTTTGTTAGCAGTATATATTATTACAATTTTAGTAGTTTTTTTCTTTCTTAAAATGTGTATACATGTTTTGGGCACCCTCTGTATAAAGTATAAGTAGTTAAGATAAAAGAAATGTAAAGAAAGTTATTTACTGTAATAAATATTTATCAGTAAAAATATTTTATTTTATTCCATCTGTTTTTTCAAATTTTATGTACTTGCTTAACCCAATATATGTAAAATATTATCATTTAACACTATAACCAATGTAAAGGCATTTTTTTTTTAGATACTTTACATTCTTTTTTGGTATTAAGTCTCTAAAATCAGGTATGTATTTTACTTATAGAACATTTTAAAATTCCCAATATGGCCCATGGATACTCTACTGAACAGCACAGTTTTAGATGATTTTTTTTTTTGACACTCTTGTCAAGGTTACCGGCATCTAGGTTTTCCCTAGGCATCCCTGTTTACTCCAGTTGTTCCAGTGTTAGAAACTCCCACTTTTCTTCTTAAAAGAAGTAAATTTATCATGTGGACAACAAAGTGCATGGTCAGCCTTCCATGCTGTCAAGTCCAGTGGTCACTCCAGTGTGTTCATCACATGCTGCCTTGCATTTCCCACGCCACAGCACCTCACTGGTCACTCCTTCTGTCTTTATGACGGTGGTGCCTTACCTTTAAATGGTGGAGTGTTCCAGGGCTGAGGGTTTTCAGGGCTTGGTCCTGGATTCTTTCCTCTACACATTCTCTCCACAAGATACAAAACATCTATTTTTGAGAGAAAAAGAACCCTTATCAAGAAATCCCTTCCACTTGAGGTAAAGGACTTCTCAACTGAGAGAGGAAAACAGCTGGAGAAAGTGGTTAGTGGCACCCAAAACCATGCACAACACGATTCTTAGATTTAGTGAATGCATTAATCCCAGAGGAGATTAAATGGATCTGATTGGCTAGCTGCGTGTCATCCTCCCTCCTCTCCCTGGGAATCCCTTGTGAAGCTGTTTGGTGTAAAAGATAGAATTCCCACCAGACAAGAGCCAGTTGGTCAGGGAGTTAGAAATGGCTGCACAGCTCTGCCAGACTCTCCAAAGCAGCTCTTGAAGGGTTTAAATATTTGGTCAAGCACTTGGCATGGCTCACTAGTCCATCACCCAGCTGTGCATGCCTCTGGGCCTGAGAACTACCGACAACGTGGAGAAATCTTTGTCCACCAAATTGTTGGCAGAGCCAAGGCAAAGCTCGGCATTGCTGTCTTAGAATTTTTTTTTCTCAAGAACATAGATTCGTTTTTGTCATAAATTAAACCCAGGAACTCCAGCATCATTTTTTGTCACTTCATATGTTACTCTTAATTTTGGAAGCGCTCTATTTGGTGAGCTCACTGCCCAATTATATTTTTGTAGGGAAGGAGATTTATGTGGTGCAATATCATAGAATTCCTTTGACTGCAGGTAAGCACAGGTGTGGATACAGAGAGCCATCCTGCCATCCAGAAGGAGCCTGGACTTATAATAACTTTTCCCAATTCTCCCATTTCACATCCAATCAATTATAAAGAGAAAATGTGTCTGAATGCTCTGGGAGAGTATGATTAATGATTATTAACTACAGAGGCACTGTTGCTGAATTGCTGCCTCCCAAGTGGACACTTTTTAAATGGCAAGAGCCTCTCTGAAAGCAATAACCAACATTTCCTTCATGAAAAGCCCATGTTTCCAGTAAAGGATTGCTGTATTTCCACAGCTACTGTTCTATTCAGCCCAATAATTAATTTGAAATATTTGAGTGATTAAAACTTTTAATTAAACCTTGCCCTCTCTGGGCATGCATACATCAAGCCTGTCTCTCGTTGCCTTTCAGCGGAACACTATCTCAGCAGTAGCAATTACATGGACTGCATTTCCTCGCTGACAGGAAGCAATGGCTGTAACCTGAACAGCTCTTTCAAGGGCTCTGACCTCCCTGAGCTCTTCAGCAAACTAGGCCTAGGCAAATACACGGACGTCTTTCAGCAACAAGAGGTCAGTCAGTATTTATTTTTCCCTGGCATCTTTGTTTGGGTTGTGTGTATGACGCCTTCTAGAATGAAATCACTCACTGACTTTTGACTTGGCTTTCACTGAGCACCTATTCAAGTCTCGTAGCTTGTTTTTGCTGTGAAGAAAAATGTCATCTCATTTCCTATTTATTTTGTGCAACCAGTAAACCCAGGATAGGAGAAAATACAGAAAATGCTGTTCCCAAAACATACCTTCAACAGTTTCAGCTAAAAGACCTAATCAGGGTATTGGTTCAGAGGGACTTTTGATTCCTAGCTCCCTTAAGGTCAGCAAGTCTGTATTAAATATGATTTCACTCTTTAATCTGTTATCTTCATTTGTGGCACTTAAAATAATAGCACCTGAAATAAATATCTGTGGTTGTTTTTGACCCCATCCTAGTCATGCTACTGAAGTCTGTTCTCACAGAATATAATGTGCTTTTGCTACATGTGAATTTATTAGTTAACTGACTGACTGGGTTTTGCCTACACTGAGATGAACTAAGATGTCTTCTGAGCTGTCCCTACCATGGATTTTGGTCAAAGTGATCAGCCATAACCATTGTGCACTGGCATAAAGAGAAGAGTGTGATTCTTTCTAATAATCTGTCATGATACCAGCACACAGCTAGTCCAGTGCAACAAAGTTAAAATAGTTCTATAAATGTATCTATTTGGTTGAAGTTTGATTCTAATTGGCTTGATTTCATCTTAGAGAACATCTGATTAAGTCAGTAATTTCCAGGTAGGTATCAGTGAATGAAGAACCTAGAATTTTTATTAGGCCCTTTGTATCATAAACATAAAGTATTGTCCATGGTTCAATAACTTCAGTTTGATTGCTGAACTTTTTTACACCAAAAAAAGTTTATCGTGTGTATATTGGATTTCAGGGTACCGATTTTGTTTTCTTCCCTCTACACCTAAATTAGTGTTCATTTACCAAGAATTTTGTAAGTTGAATAATATTTTCTTCATCAATGCATTACGTCTTTTATTTAGTCTTGCTGGTTAGGTGAGGGTGTCTGATTGAGAAGTTCAATGGCAGAGGTATTTTAACTTGTCCAGAAACAAAAGGTCTCCAAGTAAGAGATTGGATGTTATTCAGTAATATTCTGGTTTTGTTTTTAATCTATATTTATTTCTTGTTTGTAGAAGCATAGAAATAAATTTATTATAGGTTCTTCTTATCCAGATACTTCATAAAGGAAGAAAATATGATAATATGAAGCCAGGATGGCTTTATCTCATATTTATTAACTAGAGCAGGGGTCAGCAGACTATGGCTTGCAGACCTGCTACCTGATTTTGTAAATAAAGTTTTATTGGAACACAACTCTACTTACAGTCTCCATTAAATAGGATTTCTAAAAACATATCTCTAGGCCTATGATAAATGATAAACAAAAATACTTTACAAGATGTAACATCTGGATGTGACTTCTAAATCAAAAGAGAAAATTTCAAATTAACTTCTATATAATTTGAATGAAAAAGTATATTTTACTGTTTTCAGGTGTGTTGAAATTTGGTACTGCTTCGTCCATTTAGAATATTTTCTAATATTCAGATATGACTTAACAAGAATCCCCCATTAAGTAACCTGTAGGGTTTATTTTAAACAGGTTGAAAATTTATTGAGCAACTTTCCCAGATATGTATATATACGTTATTACTAACCATAGCTGCCAATTATTTTACCCCTTTGGTGAGCCCATTGCTTTATATCTACAATCATATTTAATGCCCACAACAGCCCTGCAGGGTACACTATTGTTAACGCTCAGCTCACACAACTAGTAATGGCAGAGGCAGAATCTGAGCCCATGGCTCTCTGGCTTCAGAGCCCATGGCCTTTCTGTTCTTCTGCACTGTCTTCAGAGGAAGGGTGGGATCCTCGGGCTTTTTCCTCCACATTGTTGCTAATGCCTAAGAGTACAATTACACTGTCCCTGGAAATACTGTGTGCCACTCCAGAGACTGTCAGCCGGGCTCAGCCAGGTGAGTCATGGGTCTGTAGTCTGGGAATTCTGTCATTCTTATGTTGAACACAGTGGAAGATACCATCTATGGTATTATTCAGTTTTTCTTTATAGAGATATACTTATCCAGTTCAGAATCCAAAGCGAAGAAATATTTTCTTTCTCCTTGACACATATGTATTCTTCCTTTTATCAGTTCACCCAAAAAAAAAAAAAAAAAAAAGCAATTCTTGTTTCTTGTTTCCCTTTTTGCCCTGGCTGCCAGGATGCTAAGACCTAAGTTTTTATCTCAATTGTAATAAATCACTAGCTTAGATTAAGTCTTCTGCTAGAATAATCACTTTCATTTCATCACCTTAATTAACACCATTCATTTTTGAAAGTGGACAGAGCCTAATTAATAAAATAGGTGTAATAATGAGCTGAACCTACAGTGAGGGAGAAAATATTTATTATATGGGCTATAGATTACTTTTTCACCCGCAGATCGATCTTCAGACGTTCCTCACTCTCACAGACCAGGATCTGAAGGAGCTGGGAATTACTACTTTTGGTGCCAGGAGGAAAATGCTGCTTGCAATCTCAGGTGAATACTAATGCTCATACTCATATTTTAAAATATGAACCTCTGTCAGTAGGCTCAGCCATCGGGGCTGGTTCTACGCAGCAACCACTTGCTCACGACCCTGGCACCTCTGTGGTTGTGGTTTCCGAGTGTTTTCCCGCCAACGGTGTGGCAAATGCTGAGAACATCCCCACTCCTTCATCAGGGCATTTCCTGAAAGCCTTCCGTGACAGTGTTATTCCTCAAAACACATCTCCCGAGAAAGATCTAACCAAAACTGCCCATTGCAGAACATGATGCAGGGGGAGCAGCTTAGGTCTCCCTTTTGTGGTTGTGTGAAGCAATAATCATTGGGTTAATGAACAATTATTCTGGATTGGCTGTTATATTTCAAGCGCATGTCTCCTGTGTACCAGCTGAGATCATGGTATCAGAGGAAAAAAGAATGCTACTTGGTGTAGCTGGAACCTGGCAATATTACTTGTCTTAATGCTTTTTACTTTTCTCTGAAAGTCTTAATAGAATTTGTGAGTCACAGAAGGGTGTAGGATCCTGAGAGTAGTCACAGAATGAAGGACAATAATGTTGTCTGTCTCCCAGACTGCCTTCTTTGTGCATTGGTTGCATAGTCTATGCATTACAAAATGCTCTCTACATGTTTACTGGATACCTCCCATTTGAAAGCACTTGAGCTAGATGATAAGTCCAGAGTTGGCAAATACATAATTACAATGGACCTCAGAAATGGACCTTTCTAAACATCAGAAAGCTGTTTAGAAAAATATGAGGAAGATATTTGGGGGGCAAAAAAATGGAGTTGCTTTTTGAAAACTTTCTGATAAAGTTAATGAATGTCAATTTTGTATGTGTGTCCGTCTCTCAGAAAGATAGTGACAACAAGGACAGAAGCCACGTGTCAGGTGTGGTGAGAAAATAACTTTGCTTTTTCAGAAAGAACACTGAATTTGCAGGCTATGCCTTTATCAGGCCAGCAGTGGCATCCAGTTGGTGAACATCCTTTTCAAACAGCATTCAATAATCCAATCAGCAAATAAAATAAAACCTCAGTGGTTTTCCATTTTGTTTTTGCAGCAGATTGCACTCCCCTCCTACTCCATGGAGAATCTTATCTATAGACCTAACATCTAAAGCAGATATAAGCAGAGCAGCTTTGAAACAGGGGTGGGAATTTGGCCATTGAGCAGCCTGTTAGGCTTCTCTGTGGATCAAGATGGTTCTGCACACATCAGTTGGAGAAGTCTTCCTTCAGCCTGGGTACCCAAGTGGCTGCATTAATGGAGCTCCACAGGGCAGATGCTCTTCTTCACTCCTAAGATCAGCCTGGTGTAGTGCAAAGAACACTGTATTCGAATACCTGTGTTTTGCCTCTCTGCCAACTCACGAGTTCTTCAGGGAGTTTCCAAACCTCGTTTGGTTTTGGTTTCTTAACTATGAAGGTGGATTGAAATAGATGATCATGGGAGGTTACCTTCTGTTTCTAAGCTCTGTCCATCCATGTGCTATATCATCAGGCATAATGAAAATCACCCACAGTTTAAACAGTATATGTTATTAGCAGGGTCGTACCTTGTTTTTTTCTTTTTTTTATTCGGTGACAATAGGATAGTTTTTCCAACTTGTTTACCCTAAAGCTCAGCCTCAGAGGGCTATCCCTAGACCTAAATTATCTTTATATATTTTCACATTCTTTTGTTAATTTGATTAAATCACATAATCATCACCATGTCTATACTGTTAAAATATGCTTGTGGGCCTGCGCATTTGTACCTGAGAAGTGTATGTTCCGGAACCCCATAATCTTTCACTAGAGATTCATGGAATGTCAGTGACAGGATAATGAAAATAAAGAAGTTCTTTCTTTGTGCACCACCCCAATTCCAAATTCTGTAAGGCTTCCAGCAATAAGATCTTTCTAAGCACTTTCATTGGTTCCAGGTGGATCACTAGGATCTTTACTTAGAGCATACTGGTGGTATTCCAGTTGGGATTGGGGGAGTAGAGTGGGAAACAGCAGGGATTTTGAATCCTCTTTAAAAAATGTTTTCTCCAATCATCATCTTTAGTGTGGTTCGACTGAGGTTATATACGACTTCTGTAGGCTGCCTCTCTCAGTGGGGTCCTTTTTACTTTTAAAGGAGTTAGAGACTTTGAATAAGATGCCTTATGAATGCTCTGCACAGTGGGAAGTATTTCATTATTTTAAGGATGATTTCACCTTACTATGTTGAGTGCATTTGCTTGAACCTAGTAAATTGTTTTCTTTGCAAGTACTAGGTTTTTATACAGAAACCATTCGTCAAAAAGTTCCTTTTTCCAATTCAACTCATCTGATAACAAATACATCCATTTAGTCTTAGAACATTCCTTTTCCAGATAGATGCAGGGATAGCTGGGCAGCCCCGACTTAACCTTTGTCTTGTGGTTACATAGTTTGGTTAGATCCAGAGTTTGCTCAAAATTCCTTTTGAAAATTCTGTAGATTTTAAACTTGTAATCAGAGTTCTTTCAGGATTAGGTTTTGTTCTGTTTTTAATCTTGGGCCAGAAGACATTTATTTTAGTATGGTAGGAGATGACATTTTTCTCTAGTAGAGATCAGAGAAGAAAAATTGGCTTTTTTTTTTCAAATCCACAATTTTTTTGAATTTTTAAAAATTTCTCTGAGTAGTTTAGTGAGTAGTTAACTGAATGTAGAGGGACTAAGTGCAAGGAAGTTTAGCATCCTGTTAACAGCCTTCCCACCACGGCCTCAGGTAGATCTAACATTTCCCGACCTATTCTTTTAGTTTGTGACTCTGTTCAGACCCGCAACAAGATCCTGAGAGCTGCCAGGATTGTGTGAGCCTTGGAATTTCAAAGGAAAAGGTTGGTATTTCTCCAAACTATCCCTTAGGCTTACTGAAAAAAAACCCCACAAAAATCAGAGGAGGGAGTTTGCTTTTTAATTAAAAAAACACCACCAACAACTAAAATCTCTTCAGTAGTACTTGATCCTTGGTAATCTCTCTACAAATTTATCTGTGTGTTTCACATTTGGAAATATATATCTTAGAAATGACATCTTTAGGGAATGGCCGAGTTTCTTCATGACCATTTTATTCTCTCAAAAGTCTAGTTGATGTGACTTTTCAGATTAACGTTTTCAATGTGTATTAAAGAATTTGTCTTCAATGGCCCAGTTTATTTTTCATGTACTCCATTGGACATGTGTGATAGGGAAGAACAGCGTTTGACCTCATTCATTGCTTTCCTTCTTTATAGTATGGGAATGTCCTCCTGATTTGTGGGTTATTCCTCCATGAGGAAACGGAGGCCTAAGAAAGTCTTTTAACTGGAAGGTGATAAAACTTTCCCAGTCTGTATACTTAAGATGATTCATGTATTCTTAACTCTTCTACAGTTGCCTTTCAATATATTAAATTGTCTTGATTTCTGAATTTGTTTGTTTTTGTAAGCAAGATACATGTGTTCGACTTTTAATAGGAATGTCATTGCTACTGGGTTTCTGTGGCAACTTGAAACAATAGCTATCTATGAGCATGCCTGCATGTGTCTTTTGTTTGTAAAGGTATCTTCCTTGCTTCTTTAAAGTTAAGCTATATTTTTGGATTTTAAAAAAATGTGGTATATTAAACTGTCAAGTAAAGCACTGCTGTCTGGCATATGTCAAACTACCAATTTGTCAAATCTGTGTTCCTGATTGGCCTCTGCACAGAGGCAGGCAGGGTTACACCTCCTCACATAACAGTGGTGTGGACAACTTACTTCGTCTACTTTTTAAAATTCAATGTTCTTATCTATAAAATGGAGAATGGTAATATTCTCAACTCTGAAGGGGGACTTAAATAGAATGAAACGGATGTAAAGCGCTTGTTGTATAATAAGCTCTAATAAACCACTGTTATTTTTCTTCTCCCCTAAGACCTAAATGTGAACAAAAGAGATGTCTCCACTCTTGCATTGCCCCTATGGGGCAGACACTTACATATTGGAAGGCAGTGACGTGAAATGTGAAGGGTGTTGGTCCATCTTCCAGAACTAGGGAGATAGGAGCACCTCTGGTCACATGGCCACCTGTGTTCTCGTCCCAGCATCGCTTCAGCAGGCCACAGCTTGCAGGGCACCTTCAGAATTCAAAAGGGGGTTGTATGTGCTGTTGAAAAACTACGGTGCAAACATAGGTGCTGAATCACTGGCTCCACCCTACTCAGTCCCCCAAAAAAGACAACTTTAGGCACATCAACTATATAATCACTCTATTTGAAACTAAATAATTCAAAATATTTGCATTTGATGGTTATCATAATCCTAATGTACAGAGTCTGACAATTCTATCTACTCTTATGAGTTCACTAGCAAGAGTTACATCATTTGATTTGAGGATTTGTATATGTGTGTGTTGGGGGTGTTGGGAATAGAGGGGTTGCATAGTCATAAACAAGATAGGCTGCTTCGATTAATTTTTTACCTTTTTGGTTAATAATTTGTAGTTGGCAAAAGACCAAACTAAATAGTGTTTTTTAAGTACTCTGTTGTTTTCTTTTTAATTAAAATTGATCATCTTAAGATTTTCCCTGAAAATTTGGGTTCGAGTATTGGTTGTTTTCAATTGTATCTATTTCCTAAACTAGCTATTTTTACTAAGTTGACTTTGTATTCAGAGAAACCTGCTGATACGCTTCTTCATGTGGCTCTTTCTTACGCAAGGAGCGCAGGCGCCATGAGCTGGTGGAGCCAGGGGGCTGGGGCTGAATTCCCCGGCGTGTTCCTCCAGCCTTCTCTTGTTCAGATGTGGGCTCTGATTCTCATGGCTGACTTTAATACTTCAGTGATGGCTGTGTATGACATGGATGAGTTCACTAGCTGTAATAATTTTCTGTGTCATTGGTAATACATCCTCTCATACGCCTTCACCAGCTTCAATGCCACCCCCCCACACCCCCACCCTGCCCTTTGCCTCTGAAATGACAGTTGGGATAGGTCACACTGTTAATTTGGATATCTAGAGCTTAGAGGGCTCTGAGAATGACATATTCCTCAGTTAGTTTCCAAACTGCAATAAAAACTATCTGCTGTTCTTGGTTCTCTTGGCTGCAACATGCTGCCTTTATTATCAGACTTTCTAGTATTTCAGAAATGTCTTGACCATCAACTACAGGTTTTCTTTTTGCTACCATACTTGACTTGCCCCCAACCCCGCCCCAAAGCTGCCATGTCCTGTAGATTGTACAGCTTCTCACTGAGCTGCTAACGGTTACCTCTTTCTCTCTCTAGAACTAAATAAAAACCGAAGAAAGCTTTTTGAACCGCCAAATGCACGCACCTCTTTCCTGGAAGGTGGAGCCAGTGGGAGGCTGCCCCGTCAGTATCACTCGGACATTGCAAGTGTCAGTGGCCGCTGGTAGCAGTGCTCTCCAGGCACACACCCGCCAACTCTGCCATGGTCACGGAAGATCTGTGAACGGCCTTCACTGCACACCGTCCTAGGTACTCTGGGTGTCTGGGATCAGGACCAAAGCATCTTATTCACACCTGAATTTTGTGCCAAACAGGAAGAAAACAGAGAAGATGTTCTTATGTCATACAGAATACCACATGCGGATTACTTTTTTAAAAAAAAAATGGTACTTGGACAGAATTTGCTATATGAGGGTAGGGCTTTATTTCCTGTTTTTATTTACCTGTATAACATATGCACTGATTTTTTACTTAAAATGAAGGATGCCAGAAAAACACAGAAGTTATTGTTTGCTTGTTTTGTTTTGGTATTTGGGGATTTTTTTCAAAAAAATAATCAAAGTGGAATTTTCTGGTACTGCTTTAAAATAATTATTGAGGTCTTTCAGCACTTTACACTTTCTAATTTCTTGTCCTGTGGAAATGATCTCTCTTTCTCTCTCGTTTTCATGTCACCTGATGTATTGGTACAAATCAGATTTAGTCACATTTTTCTGACTGCGTTAAATTTTTTGTTTGAAATGGTACTGGATAATTAGTTTTTGTGCAGAATATTCTGTGACTTTGGGAAATGTAAGTGACTCCACTTGGTTCTGGACCAGTTCTGTTCATTTGTGTCAGCATCCTAGAAACAATTAGCAATGAACCTAGTTCACTGTAACAGGTGCAGAGAAAGACCAAATGGACTTTGCAATATTAACCCTTTGCAGTTATCATATTTAGCTGCTGCCTATATTGCTAAAATGATTTTAATGGTTGTCTTGAAGGCAAAGGGCTATTTTTAGTATACTGCCACTAAAGGACACTTATTTATATCAAACTTTTATTTTTAGATATTATAAGCCTACAGTACATAAGTGATTAAATTGATATCTACTAGAGATTTATGGTAGAGAATGGACGGCATTCAATAACTGGAGCCCTAGATTGTCACTTTATTTAAAAAAGAAATAATCATCTGACAAGACAGCACTGTTGCCATTAGGAGGAGAAGTAGATTACTGTCCTTATCATGTCATGTACACATTAGCTCTGCTCCGTATGGTCAGAGGACTTTCCTAAAACCGTATCTGTCTGCTCGAAGTAGACTTATGTTTGTTGAGAACGGAAAGACTTTATTCAAGTCTCCAGGGTGACAGTTTATAAAGACAGCTGAGTTCTGAAGGAGGAAAAAAAAAAAGACTATTTTATAAGTGGCTCGATTCATTGTTACAATTTCATACTGTGAAAGTCCAAGAAATCAGGCAACATTGTTTCCTAGGTCTTTTCAGACATGGTATTGTAGATTTATGAAGGGTTTTCAATACATGAAGAAAATCACTAAGTGCCTCTCTTTCTTCAGAGCAATATTATTTCCAAGTGTATCAATTTGTTGGAAAACTTTCCCATAGGAAATGTTGTGAATTACCTGTACTGTAATGACTTACTTATGTTCATTATTGAAGATTTTCTACATGGACATAAACCACTGTTGCATGCTCTCAGCAGAAAGCATTAGATAAGCATATATAACAATTGGGGACTTTCATACAAATGCAGAATCAGAAATGCTTGACATTTTTTTCCATGACATTTTTCCACGGCTCAGTCTTACCATGAAAGAACAAGAGAACTGAAGAGAAATTTTGCACACACACAAATTTTCACTTTAAAAAATTGTATTGGTTACTTTGAAGGCATAGACAATGGACCCATCATAAAATTATCAATTATAATGGCACTAAGGGGATGCCCATTCCTAAATAAACTGTATCTGCTAAAGGACGTAGAACTAAATTGCTCCCCTTGCAAGCACAGTGGCATCATCCTGCACATGTCACATGGACACATCACGCTACACACTCAGCACAGGGTCAGCACTCCAGATTTGTTTCCTGTTCAACAGCTCGGTGCTCTAAATTTTATCATTTATTTAATAAGACTTTCCGAAATTAAAAAAAAAAAGAAGTCATTTGGAGCTCTTTCCCAACTCTCTACCATGCATTTGCAACAGGAGGAAAATGGAATGGATTTGTAGTATTAAGTTGTTGGAGGTTTTTATGAACAGTGCTTTATGCCTAAGGGAAAACTGTTCCAATTAAACTAGATTAAATAGAATGGCTAAAAATAAATAAATAAATAAAAACACTGGAAATTATTTTTCTCACTTTCTCTTGATGCAATGAAGGGAATATGACACTACAGTACACGGTGTTGTCTGTGTTATATGATGCACAAAATATTTGGATTATTTGAGTAAATGGTAGCTTTTAATCAATCTGTGCCTTAATAGTGACCGATTATCTGTAAATATAGAACAGATACAGATTGTATTTTTGTGTGGATTTTTGTCCTTTTAGTGATTTTTTTTTAAATGAGAGATGGAATTAAACATTGAAAATGGGATTTTTTTTCTAAACTAATCAATTATTATATGAAAAATAAATTTATATAACTCCTTTGTATTGCCCTTGCTAGATGAAATGCCTTTTTTTAAAAAAAAAATCTTTACACATAAACTGTATGTCTGCCTTTGTTTTCTAAGAAAACTTTTTTTGTTTTTTGGTTATTTCAGCAGAATTGAAAGATGTTTTTGCAGTAGAATTGAATATATACTCTCCTGTTGTTTTGTATTGGCAGTCCTCATTTTAACCAGAAGCTAAGGCACTTGATTTTAGCCAGTGAATTCAGGACCAGTAATCAATCATTGTTTCCATGGCCACCCACAGGTACATACAAAAAGAGTAATATTATGGAACAGGTTTCATTCTTGTTCTTTCTTTGATAAGGACTCAAATGTATGACCGCTTTGACAACCTCATCCATCAGCAAAGGAGCTCCTATTGAATGAATGCTGGACTTCTTGACCCAGGTTCCCATTTCAGAGGCCGACCATTGTGCTCTCACAGTGAGGGCTCACTGTGCCTTGTGATTCTGCCCTAACTCATTCTCAAACAGAATCATTACTAATCCTGAGGTTTGTCTAAATCTCAAAGAAAGCCTAACCCTCCACCCATGATGCACCCAGAAATATCTCCACTTGAATTACCTGTGGTAATGGCTCTTAAAATATTTTTCCTAGCACAAGAAATCCTTTAACTAAAATCTTACCTGGGAACCCTATGTTAAATTATCATCCATTCACACATTCACTCATTATATAAATACTTAATGAGGGCTTAGTAAGGACTGGGACCTGTTCTAGGAACAGCAGTGAATGAAACATAAACCCTTGCCCTGACCTTACAAAGCTTTCATTTCCGAAAGGTACGGCTGATGAAGAGGGATTGGAGGATGTATCCCCACCCTTCAACACAGCCTCCATGTGTTTATAGCATTCCGAGGAAACTCAAGTGCTGTCTGGAAATCCCAGTTTAAAAAAAAATTATTAAATTTATTGGGGTGAGATTAGTAAAATTATATAGGTTCGAAGTGTAAAATTCCATAATACATCATCTATATATACTGCATTGTGTGTTCACCGCTCAGAGTCAGTTCTTCTTCCATCACCATATATTTGACCCACTTTACTGTCCTATCTCTTCACCTCCTCTCTCACCCTCTGGTCACCACTAAACTGTTGTCTGTGTCTGAGTTTTTCTTTATCTGTCTTGTTCACTTGCTGCTTTTAGTTTTATATCTCACATGAGTGAAATCATATGGTTCTCAACGTTTTTTGTCTGATTTAATTTGCATGATAATCTGAAACTCCATCCACGTTGTCGCAAATGGCAGTATTTCATATTTTCTTATGGCCAAGTACTATTCCATTGTATATATGTACTGCATCTTTATGCAATCATCTATTGAAGGACACTTTGGTTGTTTTCCTGTCTTGGCCACCATGAATAATACTGCAATGAACATAAGGGTACATATATCTTTATGGATGTTTTCAATTTTGGTGGGTAAATACCCAGAAGCAGCACTGCTGGGTTGTATGATAATTCTATTCTTAATTTTTTCAGGAGCCTTCATACTGTTTTCCATAGTGGCTGCATCAATTTGCATTCCCACTAGCAGTATATGAGGGTTCCTTTTTCTCCACAACCTCTCCAACACTTGTTATTGCTTGTCTTGTTGATAATAGCCATTCTAACAGGTGTGAGATGGTATCTTATTGTGGTTTCGATTTGTATTTCTCTAATAGCTAGCAAAGTTAAGCATTTCTTCTTGTATTGGCTGTTGGTATGTCTTCCTGGGAGACATATGGCTGTTCAGATTCGTCTGCCCATTTTTTAATTGGATTGCAGAAACCCCAGTTTTTGACAAAACTCTTGAAAGTACCCATCTCACAGAAACAAGCCTGTGATTTCAAATGCAAAATATTTATCTGCCAGCCCTCTTTTTTCCTAGGTTGCATAGGCTTAACAGCATATTCAAAGGAATGTGTGTACATAAGTGTAATGACACACAGCTTTAGTTATAACTATGTGACACTTCCCTTCTTAGATTTGACTGCAAGTGACTTTGCAATTTATACTGGTTTACCTTGAAAGAACATGAGTTTTCTACCACTGAGGATATTCCAAGAATGCAGTCATAGAGAGTGATGTCACCAAGATAGTGACATAGGTTATTCCTGACTTGGTTCCCCCTTATAAGAACAACAACAACTACCGTGGACAAAACACTACTGAGAGAATCCCAGAACATGGGAGTGAGGGCTCAAATAACCCCCTGCACCACAAAGACCAAGGCAGACTGCAGTAGAAGGGTACGAGGAATGATTACATGCTGATTGCATTGCTCATCCCCCAGGCTGGTGCAGCACCTTGCAGATAGGTGTCCCCTGAGCCTACAGTTCATCCAGTGGGAGAAGAGCCCAGGGTTGACATCCAGCACCCCTAGCATTATGGGTCACTTCAGGGGAGCTGTTACTCTGGTTTTACCCCAGGGACCGCAGGGGGATCTGCAGGGCTCAACCACTGAAGCTCTTAACTCCGCAAAAAATCAGGGAGGAGCTTCCAACAGT